TGAGGTAAATACCGCATATTTGTTAAAATAGTGAGATAAATATCGCAAAAAAAAAGTGCGATAAATCATTGAAGTCAATTCATTAAGAACACACATTCGTTATTTATCACCTGGTGTTTGCTGGCGCAGTTTTTTAGAAATGTACAAAATACCAATTAGAGGAACTCTGCACTGGCCAGAAAGTGAAACGTATACAATGTATCAGTGCGAAAATGTTCTCTGAGCTCAGGTATGAAAATACATTGTAACATTTCATCAGAGGGAGATCGTTTTGTGAATGAAAGCACGCTACATTGTTTTCATAGTTTCCCAGTATTGCTGTGTGCTGCTGGTGCAGTGTTAGCCTGCAGAAATAAATTGTGAAAAAAACACCAAAAATAATGCAAAATTTAAGTGCTAAATATCGCAAAACATGAATATTTAACGCATTCGGTAAACACACGTTTTTTAATGAATTGACTACTTTTGAAATAAATACCACATTAGTTATTTTAACTCAAAAATTCATGCGGTATTTATCTCTTAGGGAATGGACCCCAAAGAGTGGTCATTGTGTGCATGTGACAGCGATTCCACAAATGTGGTTTGTCTGGGAGGGTTGCAAGAAAAAAGCTACTCCTCAAGAAAGGCCACATGCAGTCACAGCTGAGCTTTGCCAAAATGCACCTTGAAGATTCTGGGGCCACATGGAAAAAGGTGCTATGGTCAGATGAGACTACAATTGAATTATTTGGCCTCATGACTTAATGGGGTTTATTTACTAAAGCTGGAGAGTCCAAAATCAGACTCCCTTCTGCATAGAAACCAATCAGCTTCTAACCTCAGCTTGTTCAATGAAGCTTTGGCAATGAAACCTGGAAGCTGATTGGTTTCTATGCAGAAGGGAGTCTGATTTTGGACTCTCCAGCTTTAGTAAATAAACCCCAATATGTCTGGTGGAAATCCAGTCCAGCTCACCATCCAAATTATTATTATTATTATTATACAGTATTTATAAAGCGCCAATAGTTCGCTCAGCGCTGTACATTACAAAGGGGGACAGAACATGTGACAGAACAATAACAATACAATGCAAAACATGAGGGGATTGAGGGCCCTGCTCTTTGGAGCTTACAATCTAGGAGGGAGGGGATAGTGGTACAGGAGGAGATAGCTGTGGGGGATGGAGTGGTAGGAAGAGTGGAGGAGGTCGGCAAGTTAGCAGGGGGTGGGGTAGGCTTCCCTGAAGAGATGGGTTTTCAGGGTGCGCCTAAAGGAGAGGAGAGTAGTAGTGATAATCTGATGGGTTGGGGCAGGGAGTTCCAGAGGATGGGTGACACACTGGGGAAGTCCTGGAGGCGGGTATGGGAGGAGGAGACCAGGGAACTAGAGAGAAGGAGGTCTTGTGAGGAGCGGAGTGTGCGTGCTGGGCGGTACTTGGATATTAGGTCAGTGATGTAGTTCCTCCATTATTCCTACAGTAAAGCATGGAGGTGGTAATATCCTGTTATGGGGGGGTTCTCTGCAGAAGGGACTGGAGCACTTGTCAGGATAGAAGAAAAAATGGATGGGGCAAAATACTGTCAAATTCTTGAGGAAAATTTGCTGCCAGAAAGTTGTTAATGGGAAGAAGTTTACCTTCCAACATGACGATGACCCAAAACACACAGCAAAAATGACCACACAGTGGTTGGAGGAGAAAAAGGTGAATGTCCTTGCATGGCCTAGTCAGAGCCCAGACTTAAACCCCATTGTAAATCTGTAGAATGACTTGAAGACTGCAGTCCACAAATGCTCACCATCAAATTTAACTGAACTTGAGCAGTTCAGCAAAGAAGAGTGGGCAAATATTGCAAAGTCTAGATGTGCAAAGTTAGTAGAGACATATCCCAACAGACTAAACAGTGGAATTAAAGCAAAAGGGGGTTCAACAAAATACTGACACAAGGGGTGATCCTTTTTCCAACTCAGTGGTTGTATTTCTGAATTTTTAAAAAATGTATAATGTTAAAAATCTTATAAGCTGCACTGAGTAAATACAGCTGGATAAAACAAAAACTGTGTCTGTCTTCATTTCATGCTGCAAAGCAACAGAATGTGATTCTTTTAAAGGGGGGTGATTCTTTTCTATAACCACTGTATATTCTTCTTATATGCTTCTAATGGTCATGTAATAAACAATATTTTTTCTCCTAAATAAGTAATATTTTCACTATATACCACCCTAAATATCCTGTTTGTTGGAATAGGATTCTTGGTTTGTTTTACAGGGTATAGAACAGTGCTGTACATTGGATAATTTTTTCATTTCTAGAACTGGTTTTCTGGACTGCATTGAAGATAGCATTTTCTTTTTCCTGATCATTGTTTGTTTTTATAAAATTAATATTTGTCTCATTTGCATTATACATTTCCTGTTTCACATCATTGTTTTGTGCCATGTGAAATGCGCCAAAAAAGTTGATGCTATACTGTATTTCTTTATATTTTATATGGTGTCTTTGGTTTACTTGACCAGATAGGGAATTTCAGCCTTTTCTTAAAGAGTCAGAAAAAATGACCATTTCCCAATGCAAGCTGTTAAAGGATACGTTCACCTTTTTTGGCAAGAAAAATAAACAAGCATATTTTTGCTGGAAAAAAATATATATTTATTATTTTTTTTTACGATCAGTAGATCACAGGTGCAATGCCAGGCTCCTGCAGACACTCCCTCCAGCTTTCTTGGCCGTACCTCTGTACAGGCAGACAGTTATAAAGCTGGATTAAGTGTGATTGCACCCTCATCAGCACCCTTGTAGTTCATTAACTACAAACTATCTGCCACAGTGGCAGATGGGACTTGTAGTTCATTCACAGATTTCTCCACACAGTTGTGCCAATTTCAAATTATACAGCAGGGGGGGAGGAACCCCCCACCTGATTTTACAAGAGGGGGGCGGGTCTCTTTAAACATGTTACATTTTACACCCTAAATAGGGATGGAACATGTTCAAAAGGTGAACCTATTCTTTAACGCTTGTCTTTGGCCTCCAAAGCACAGAATAGGAGGCAGCCTCCAGTACTGAGCACAGAGAAACACACATGTGAAGGAACAGCAAGGAGGGGGAGCACTCTAATTTGCAGACCTGCTCCTGGATACACCGGAGGGACCCAGACCAGATCCTTTAACGTCCAACACCAGGGGGACCCCTAAGTGGAGAGGATCATCAGCCTCATACACAGCTGAGGGAGGACCACCCAGTATCGGATGACATCTGGATCATTTATACACAAAGGCGCATATTTTATGCGGGTCTGGTGAGTGCGCATTGCTTTATCACTTTCGTGCACGGATACCTGAACCAAGTCACCTGAATACCTAAGTCACCTGCATACTTGAGCACCTAATCTCTGTCACCTAATTGAGGAGGACTTTTTATTGATCGAACTGATTGAATACATGTCATTATCTATATATGTTTAGCGCTGCACTTTATTTTATGTTTAGTACAGCCTCCAGTACTGCTTCAAACCTTCATGACCTAGTCCAGAATCCGGAGTGTAACTCCAGATGTGAGAATGTGTACAGGAGCCTGCTATGTGGGCACTGGTATGTGCTCTCTCCCGAGCCCCACTCTATGTGTTCATTAAACACAGAGCTGTGGCCCTCTTTCTCTTCATTGGCTCACTGTCTGTGATTGAGCCAATGGCTCCTGCTGCTGTGTCTCAGCCAATGAGGAGAGAGATACCTCGGATAGCCGTGGCTCCTGTACACATCGCTTGATCCAAAGGGGCCTCAGGTAAGTATTAGGGGGGGCTGGGGGGAGCAGCACACAGGTTTTTTAAAACCTTTCAGCTTTTGCAACCACTTTAAGCCTGTCAATCGATCACCATGTCTTTGTGGAGTCCTGTAGATCCTGGACCCATGTTGGTTACAAAGAGTTCTACCAAAGTTAGGATGAAGCCTCAACCCTTATAGGCACATCAAGTATATGTAATGCTAAAATCTTTTAGTTTTGGATAAATAATGGCTTTTTTTAATACCCCTATCTGGTTAATGATTGGTGATTGTGTCCTGCCAGGAAGATTTCCCTTCCTGTCTTGGAGGTGTTACAGGAAGTGAGATGATACGCCCTTTTAGACTGTTGTACCAGAAGATTTCTCTCCATTGGAAGATCCCCCCCCCCCCCATACTTATTGCTCTCATAACTCACTAGGACCATTAGAAAGGGGAAAAGGCCACAGTTTGCCTTTACACAAACTCACACACACCCTTAAAATGACACTTAGTGATGTCCTTATTATTCAAAAATGTCCATACACATCCACTAGTTAATGGCCCTGTAATGTTTTTTTTTTGTTTTGTTTTTTTAGCTCATTGTAACATCCTGCATGAGCTCCTAAACCTCTCCTTTCCCTCTCTTCAGTTTGTTTGGAACAAGCAGTGCACGCTAGTTGCAGTCATGTGCACTTTTCTTTGCACACTTCAGATCCCATAGTCCATCTCTGGAGTGAGCAAGAGAGAGTCGCTACATTCCTACATACAGTGGAAGCATGGAGAATGAACATAGCCACTGTCTAACAGATGATTGGAGCAAAAAAAACAACAAAAAAAAGGATTTGGAGGTGGCTGAGCACAATAGAAGGGACTTTTTTGACTTACGAATATTTTACTTTAAACTAATTTAAAGAAATAAAAATTTTGTGTCCCTTTAATTCAGCTGTCAAATGCTGGATCTGTCAGATTGGAGACTCGGCTGTTTAACAGTGGAGGGGCAGTCCTTGGTTTAGTATTGGGAGGATGTAGGGCTTCGTATGGACTCCGAAAGAAACTGATCCAAGGGGCTCAGGTACAGGGTGCCTCTACTTCAATTTGGGGGGGCTGCCATTGCTGACTGGCAATGGGTTTTTCTTCTACCTTCTAAATGCCTCTGTGTACATGGACACATAGGTGAACATACAGGGGCAGAAAATAAAATATACCAGACACCCCTAACAGCATAGCTACAACTGTCCAGTGAGCATGAGGCCTAATACTGACTTAGACCCAGGGGCGGACTGACCATTTGGAAACTCGGGCACTGCCCGAGGGCCTGGGGTCAGTAGGGGCCCCATGAGATGCCCCTGGTACCTTTTTCATAGGCTTTTTTGAGTTTGGGCAAGGACACAGGGGCCCCATGATCCCCTATTGCCCGGGGGCCCCATCAGTTGTCAGTCCGCCCCTGCTTAGACCTGAAACAAATATGTGTGACCGGACAGAGGTGGTTATCTGCATAGAATAAAGTGAAATAAGGCGCTACAACCCAATAGGATAAGGAGATCTTCCAGAACTGCCGGGTTCAGAAAGACAGTCGCACAGCTGCATTACGATCATGAAGAGAGATGATCCGTAACTCATTGCTTGCTCTTACAGATCTTCACATTTTATTGATTCTCCATAGAAGACAAGTCATCAGATGTTAACGTGTTTCAGCCTTGTTCTATGTGTGATTAGCTGCATACCTGTTCTGTTTTGTGACTAAAGACAGGGACAGTCTTGACAGCCTTTCAACTTACATCTACAAATTGAGGTGGTCAGCAATGGTTGTGTCCATTATCAGCACTGTGGTCACTGAGACACTTTTCAGGCAATGTCATGTCCACATTGGGGAATTCTGACAGTGCAGATTACAGAATAAGAGGACGATGCAGTTTGGAAAATGTGTCCTTTCTTCCACTTTATACAAGATTTCCATTGTGGTTTATTTGGCCATCATTCCTTCACTCCAGATCATACAGCTGCACCTCCAGTAATGTTGTGTACCTTATCCAGTGCAGAAAATGCAGCAAAGGATCTTATGTTGGCGAAACAGGACAGAAGTTGCAAACAAGGATGAATCTGCACAGACATAACATCAAGGAACATAAAGAAGATGACTTCTGCACACCTGTGGGACACCATTTCACACAACCAGACCACAATATGGAAGACCTCAATGTTTTGGTCCTGAAAGGAAAATTCAAATCTATAAAGGAAAGAAAAGCATTTGAACTAAGAATGATAATTCTATTTGACACAAAAGATAACGGCCTTAACTTGGACATGGGATTCCTCAACCATTATCTGACAGCTTTATGACTATCTATTAGCTGAAGCTTGACCCCCTCTGTGTGAGTGTAGTATCCCCCCCCCCCCCCCCCCCCTCGCTCTTGATGTATCTTATCTGTAGCCTTTTTTTTTTTCTCAATCCCTTCTAACATTCTGCTTAAACTTTGTGATTTGTAACAGTACTGTTTGGACTTTGAAGAAGGGGACATACCCCGAAAGCTTGTCCTCAAAATTGTATGTTAGTGCAAATAAAAAAAGTATCACGGACAGTACTCAATTGTTTCTGTCACAAATGCACCAATACGGCTACAATCACCTCAAGCCATCATTCCTTGAAATCTGAAAAGCACAACCAGAAAAATAAATCTGCGTCCGGGGCGTAATATCATTTTCAGCGCTACCTGCTAGGATCACACAGTATATTGGTGTGTTTTTTACTATGATTAGATATTGGTGGGGAAAGTATGTGGATTCTGCAACTTCCTCTGCAGTGTTGTATGTGCATTCTTCAGAAATGTGTGCAGTGTAATGACATTATGAGCTTGTTTGTGTTCCTTCAGTGCTGATCTACAGGTTGGTGGATACTTTGTTTCTTTTGTGACCAAAGGTTCCATGAGTGGAAAGAAAGAAAAGCCAAGAAAATGTATCTTTTTTTTTTTTTTTTTTTCTTTGAACACAATGTTGATGGGAGAATCCCTCCCGCAGTGCTATTGTGTTCTGTTGGCAGGGATCCTTCCCGGCTGGCAGAATGCAATGATTACTTCTACAGGGGTGTGGAAAAACTACTTGTCCAGGGATTAAATCGGTGTCCCAATCTACTTGTCCCTCATGACAATCTACTTGTCCTAATAAAAAAACATACATTTTAACCAAAACCATATTTATTCATATTAAAATATTTACTTGTAAATTGCCTCCACCATCAGCACTCACCCCAGCAGTTCTTTAAACTGATTGGGGAAGGGTGCGGTGGGCGGAGTCCACAGCAGTGTAGTGCAAAAATGGCAGACTATTGAAGGTGGGCACTGGAGCAGAGTACATCCATGTCTTAGGCAACTCATACATTAGTCATTTGTTTCATTTTTTTCATTCAGACAATAGGTTTACACAGCTATGGAAACCTCAGAAATAAAATGAATAGAATGTCAAGTGGTAAGAACCTTTAATCTGTACTGAAGCCCTTATTAAGAAGACAACATATTTAATAGCACACAGAAGACCTCAAAACCACCATTGTTTTCAACACTATGGACAGACGACTGTCACCTGGAATAAGGAGGCCATATTGGCTCTGAATTGTCAGTGGTTTTGATGTCTTCTGTGGATTAAATATTCTGCTTTTACGATTAAGACCTCTGTAAAGATTTGAGGACTTTACTTCTTGGTGTGCTGGCTGGATTTCATAGTATCACTGTTGGCTGTGCACCCTCCTGAAGGTGTTTAAAGGTACGGTGTGGGATGGATGGATTCAGCAAAAAAAACCCTGACTGATGTTTTTTACTACTTTGTTACTTTTCACCAAAAGATTTGCTTTGGATACACATTAAAGCACAACATATTATTGTCCCTCTGAGCTCTCACCATCATGTGCAGGTATAATAAGACTCTCCTAGAGTGCTCTCCCCCAGCAATGCAACGTTTACACTCCCTTCCCCACTCAGTTGACACCTCTGCCAACTTCTACTGGTCTTTGGGTTCGGAGTCTCCCAGCCTCTGTATTGGCTGGCCATGGATGCCGCATGTGTGTACCAAAGTTACTTTGTTCCAGCACTGGCTCACTGCATGCTGAAAGTGTACACTCAAAAGTCCTCCAGAGAGAGATAAGGCATGACAGGCAACATATCCAAAATCATCCCAAATGCACGGTGAATGCAGCCCTCCTTAAATACGGGGATCCAATGTATAGCTACAAAAAAAACAAACGGGAAAGGTGAGAACACCTAATGCATTACCAATAAATTTGTAATTTGCACTCGGTGTGTGCGCTTTCCTCATTTGTTTTTTTGTAGTTATTGAAGGATCAAAGCTTCCTGCATTGTGTGCTGCTCCGCATTCGTGTTTACATGTATTAGCAGTGCGTTTGCAGTACAATTTTGTTGTGTTTGCAGTACTTTTTTCGGTACTTAATTTCGGTGGCCGAAATGTTTCGGCCGAAAACACCCCTTTTGGCCGTATGAAAAAAAGCACTGAAAAAACCCGCCCCTTGCTGCGGCCCACCTGCCGCTTCTGTCACCGTCTGCCGCTCGGTAGTTCTCAGCCTTACCTGAGAAACCATCGAACGATCCCGGAGCTGGGAATAGAGATTAGTGAAGGAAAGATGGCCTCCACTCATCTCTATGTCCTAGGAGGACCGGAGCGATGTCACTTCTGGTTCCGGACATTTTTTTTTTAACCTCCCTGGCGGTATGATTATTTCAGATTTTTGGTGCTGAAAGCGGTACCATTTTTTTGCATGGAAATATGTATTTTTTTAATTGTAGGCCTGTAATATTTAGGAATAACTCACTGAAATCTGTCCGAACAAGAGTCTAGTAAACATCCCGGGTATGATAAAATTTGAAACACAAAATCATAAATTATAATTTAATAAATAATCATAAAAATAATATAAAAATAATAAAAAATTTAATTCAATAATATAATCAAACCAAAAACACTGAAATTTGAAATATAGCGCCAAGTTCGCACATCGCTGAGCTCAGTCGCAAAATCGTTCTCAGTGTCTGATGACGAATTTCCCCACGAATCATTATCACTCAATTCTGCAAGTGGTTCTGATTTACTATCGCTGTTCTCTAGCTGATCTAAACTGCTTTTGACCTAAAGGGACACTTTTTGGATGCATGGACGTTTCTCAGTTTCCAGGCAGAAAGAACAGACAAAATGCAGGCAGGGCGCAGGACAAAGCACTAGGGACAATATGTATGTGAAATGGGTTGAGACAGCAATGTTTTACTATGTAAAAAAAAAAAAATGACATTTTTTTAAATTTTTAAATTTCCCGCCGGCGGCGGCGCCCGTACGTCCCGACGTCACAGGGACAGGACACAGAAGCCGGATGCCGGCATCGGCCGGAGGAGATGGCCGGGGACGCTGCAGGGGACACATCGCGGGAGCGCAGGGTAAGGTAAGTGAAGAACACATGCCGGAGCAGTGCCGCATGGTATTCCCGAGTGTAGCTCGGGGTTACCGCTTTTGGTACTGAAATGTTACCCCGAGCTACACTCGGGAATACCGCTAAGGAGGTTAAGCACTAGATGAATGCTTTTTTTTGATCCAATCCTTTACATTGCAGAGGAAAGTTATGGAGTCTTACTGACCTCACATCTCTCCATAAAGAGGACCTGTCACTAATTATTTCTATCACAAGGGATGCATGAATTTCTTGTGATCAGAATAAAAGTGATTAAACATTTTTTTAAAGGGACAGAGCAAAAAAACCCCATATAAATAATTAAAAAAAAAAGTTTGAAGTGCACCCATCCCCCCGTGTTCGCAAGTAGTGGTGAATGCATACGTAGGCCATGCCCACATATGTAAATGGTGTTCAAACCACACATGTGAAGTATCGCCACGAACATCAGAGCAAGAGCAATAATTCTCGCACTAGACCTCCTCTGTAACTTTACACTGCTAAACTGTAGAAATTTTTAAAGCATCACCCATGGAGATTTTTAAATACCACAGTTTCACATAATTCCACGAGTGCACAATTTTATAGCCTGACATGTTGGGTATCTATTTACTCACCGTAACATCCTCTTTCATATTTTACAAAAAAATTGGGGTATGTATTTTTTTTTGTTTTTTTAAATCAAAGTTTATTTTTTTCTGTGCTTTTTGGTTTCGGTTTTTGGCCAAGTGCATTTTGAATTTTCATTTTTGGTTTCGCCACCAGAATTTTCATTGCGGTGCACCACTAGAAAACACAGAATGGTGCACTCTACTCATGCATTACCGTGATAAAAATGAATTTATTAAAAAATGACAAGTGTATACTCACAAACCAAGGGTCATAATAACAGACAGGGGTCCTGTGATAGGATGACTAACGCGTTTCGGGAGTAGAACTCCCTTCCTCAGAGCTCAAAGGGAGTTCTACTCCCCAAATGGTATGTGAGTATGCACTTGTCATTTGTTTAAT